AAAAAAAATTGTGGAAAATTTATACCATGGAATACTCTGCAGCAGTAAAAAAGAAGAATGTTTACCTTTACAGACAGCATAGAGGCACCTGGAAAACATCATACCAAGTGAAATCAGTCAGTCAGAGAATGACAAGTATCACTTGATCTCACTCATATATGAAATCTAATTAACAAAATAAAGTGGTGAATGGAGTGGATTCAGAGACATGGAAGCATGGAAGGAAGTGCACAATCTCAGAGGAAAGGAATAGGAGGGAAAAAAAGAAAGAAAAACAGCCTCAGGTAAAGATTAAACACACACACACACACACACACACACACACACACACACACAAAACAAAGTCACCTGAGCCTTGAGAATTTTCTTCTGTTCTCTTAATGCAATGGGAAAACACTAGCTTGCTGTGTTCTGAGTGTGCTCTAAATTTGTGTTTATTAATCTGTGTGTTCAATCAGTTGAGTCTCTGGAATTGCTGATAACCTTCATGTAACTTTCTCCTGCTTCACACGAGTCAATTATTTTTGGTGATGTTGTAAGAAATGTCCAAACTTGTGGAGAATTTTCCTAAGTTTATGTGACCCAAGCCCGTAACAGTGCCAGGAAGCAGAATAACAATAAATTGCTTGGGAGAATGGCAGTTTTGCACCTTTTTATACATGGAGACTAAATAAGAAGACATAAATGGGTTATATGACATTCACTGGTGATAAATTGGGGGCAGGAGCTAAGGAGGAAAATCTCTGGGATTGGATAAAAAGTAAAAAAAAAAGACACGTTCTTCTTTCACATTTCTGTGTATAGGATAGTTAACAGTCATCGATTAATATGATAAAAATAACAATAACAATGAGGTATTTGGGTATTTGTGGTCTCTGCTCTGGTGCTTTGGTTGTTCCCTGAGGGGTCTGTAAAATAAAACAGGAAATGACCCTGACCTTTCAAAGGTATGTTATCCAAAAGAAAATAAGCAAGCCCTGTGGCATGGCTCAATGGTTGAGTGTGGGCCTATGAACCAGGAGGTCATGGTTTGATTCCCAGTCAGGGCACATGCTGAAGTCCATTAGTCCATTATGTGCAGGGATGCACACACACACACACACACACTCACACACAAAACAAAATAAACAGACTAGGACATAAATACCCCTGTGACTAGCTTTTACTTGGAAAGTTTTAACTTTAAAGCATCCTATGTGGGTACTTTTAGCTTCCGAGTTTGCAAGATTGCCCATGCCTGCCAGGCTCCCTGAGATTACTAGGTTTACTGTGTGGCATCATTTTTGTCCATACTGGGGACTTAGAACCTGTGGGTTGAGGTGAAAATTCAATGAGTGGTTTACTAACTCAGGGACCCATTTCAGATGTCCTCCTAAACACAATGCCCTCAGTATTGATGGTGTGCCTTTATTTGGTCAGCTACAAGTAGTCATTCTTCAGGTCAATAAAATCTTAGGTTCTAAATGTGGTGGAGGTATTCGTAAGGACAAGAAAAAGGTATGTTTCTTGGCTGTGGCCTTCCACAATTGATGAGAATCACCTGCCAATTAAACCCCAAGATTGTTGACTCCTCTAATCCAACAACTCCTCTGTTCAAACTGCTGAACAAGAGAAGTTACTTGCAAGACTACATTCTTGCTATCCCTCCGCCCTGCTGTTGTCACACCTCAGAGATAATTTGCACCACGGAGTCTCTAGTCAGTAGAAAGTTTACTTCCCTGAACTACTTTAAACAAGCCTCTTTTTAACTCTTCATAACTTTCTCTCTAGTCATATTTTATAGCCTTGGGAAAAATACTGATAGGAAAACTACCTATACATCTGCCAGTCTGTCTCCAGGAATGCAAAGTAACTGTAACTTAAATGGCTCAAGATAAAAGAAATATATGTGCCGAAACCAGTTTGGCTCAGTGGATAGAGCATCGGTTTGTGGACTTTAAAGTCCCAGATTCGATTCCAGTGAAGGGCATGTACCTGGGCTGCGGGCACATCCCCAGTGGGAGATGTGCAGGAGGCAGCTGATTGACACAGGGTTGCCGCTCCTCGGACGTGGGTGGTCTGCTGGTGTGGCTGCTGCTGCTTCTAAAATGGGGACGGGCTTCTTGCAGAACTGCTGCTCCTCGGATGCGGGCGGGCTGCTCACACAGCTTCTGTTCCTCGGATTGGGCAGGCTGCTCATGCAGCTGCTGCTGCTTGGATGAGGGCAAGATGCTTGTGCAGCTGCTGCTCCTCAGACTAGTGCAGGGTGCGGGCTGTGCGCAGCTGCTGCTCCTCGGATGGGGGCAGGCTGCGCAGGGCTGCCACTCCTCAGACGTAGGTAGACTGCTCGTGCGGCTGCTGCTCTTTGGACAGGGAAGCGGGCCGCTCACACAGTTGCTGCTCCTTGGACAGGGGCTGGCCACATGAGGCTGCTGCTCTTAGGCCTGAGGCAGGCTGCTCACGGGGCTGATGCTCCTTGGACAAGAGCGTGCTGCTCACGTGTCTGCTGCTCACATGGTTGAGAAAATAATGTGAAAGGAAGTAGAAAATTAAGCAACAAAAAAAGAAAGGAGAACAAAAAAAAGCAAAAAAAAAAAGAGCAACAAACAAAAAAAAAGGAAAAACTAAGCAAAAAGAAAAAAAAGCTAACAAAATAATAATAAAAATGAAAAATTGAAATGTCATTCCTTTGGCTGGCTTAAGATCCCAGTTTTCTGGAATGTCTGTGATTTTTTTTTTCTGTTGCTAGGACTGAAAGCCCCTCTACAGGCCAGACCCTGTTAACTCCCAGGGACTAATCAGATTATTTTAATCCTTCATCCCATTCAGGTGGAATCTGGGTGTGGCTGTATTCCTTGCCTGGGGCCTGGAGGGAGGAGTTATATCCTCAGGAGAAAATGGCTGCCCAAGTCCTGGGCTCAGGCATAACTCAGTACTCAATTTGCTGCCACCTCTCCTGGACCCCCTTCTCTCCCCAGCCTCTCTCCAGATTCCACTCGTCCACACCTTCTCCCGCTCTTCAGCATGGGTGAGTGTCTGTATCCAAAATGTCCTATGAACAGGGTTCAGTGAAAACAAACAAACAAACACCGGCCACAGAAACAGGGAGGACTGATTCTCTGTAAGCTCCTCTCTTACCAGCACTGCATGGTCTGGTCAGTGCTTCAGGTTGCCCCCTTAAGGCTCAGTCCTCCGTAATTGTGGAACCCAGATCTCAAATCCCCTGGTGCCAACAGTCCAGCGGATCTCCTTTCCACAGTCAGGGGCTGTGCCTGTCTCAAGTGATGCGGCTGGGTGCCATGCGGTCTCCCTCTGACCCTCTGGGCTCAGAGGTCTGGCAAACTTTCCTGCCTAGATCCCTGGTTTTTACCTTTCCAGGGGAACTCTGCTCTTCCTGGCTGCAAACTGTCTCACCAGCTGAGTATACTTCGCCAATTCGGGGTGGGTGTTATTAGTTTTAGCTGCTCATTCTATTTGCTCTGGGGACAAGCCTTGGGATGCGTCTTCCTATTCCGCCACGATCTTGTGATGCACATCAGTCATTTTTTTTTTATCAATAGTTTTTATATCATGTTTTTGTTCTTATATCTTGTCTTTGCTGCTATATCAAATTGTTATTGTTTATTTATTAATCAATTTATATATTTTCATGTACACTTTACTAATTTTCTTTCATCTCTGGCACTTCTATTATAGAGAAAGGGCAAATAGTGATATTAAAATATTTCTTCTAATTAATTTCGTTTTAATGTGCACAAATTCGTGCACTGGGCCACTAGTTTTTAAGTTAAGAACGATTGACCAAAGAAGATATTCTCTAGTACAGTAGTCGCCAACCTTTCGGACCTTATGACCACCAGTGGTTCGTGGACCACCGTTTGGCGACTGCTGCTCCCAAGGTTTCTTTAAACCAGCAGACCAACCTTTTAGAACTCAAGTACCACCTGTGGTTCAAGGACCACCAGTTGGCAACCGCTGCTCTAGGATGTGGAGCATGTGAATGTTTCATACACTGGTGGAAAAATGCCAAAAGGTACAATCAGTTTATTTTTATTTTTAAGGAATAGCTTATTGATTTTTAAAATATATATTTATTAACTTCAGAGAGGAAGGGACAGATAGAAGCACCAATGATGAGAGGGAATCACTGACTAGCTGCCTCCTACATACCCCACACTCGGTTTGAGCCAGCAACTCAGGAATGTATCCTGACCTGGAATCGACCCATGACCACCTGGTTCATAGGTCAAAGCTCAATGACTGAGACATGCCAGGTGGGCAATTTTATTAATTTTTGGAGAGAGAAGAAGGACAAGGGAAAAAAACACAATGCAAGCGTACAACATAGACCAGCCATTTCTTGCACACTCCATTCTGGGAAGCTAGCCCACAACCCAGGGACACACCAAGCAATTCAACTAGCAACCCTTCTGTACCTGGGATCACAGCCAAACAACTGAACCACACATCCATGCTGGTATATTCCGTATAGACCACAATATGCTAAACTTTGTCAATTTAAACATTCAAATTCTCAACGACTCAGATTATACAATGAATTGTTGATGAAGGTAAATAAAACATATCCATATAAAGAATTATATAGAAATGTTTATACCAACTTTATTAGAAATAAAAATATATTCATAAAAATGGGCAAGCTATTGGTGATATATTCAAAGGTAAGAATATTTATCAGAAAAAAGATTACTAATATATCTTTAATGAAACTCCAAGTATTTATGAAACATAACTTAAAGCAGAAAAATACTTAGAAAAAAGTAAAGTTCTCTATTAAAATGGAATGTAAATCCATGGTTACTAGGAAAGCTGTGAAGAACAGGGACAGATTAAAAGAGGTCATGAAGCAATTACACAGTGACAGATATGGTCAGTATTATGACTATAATGATGATTTTAGTTTCATGCACACATGAAGATTTATGAAATACTATACTAAACACGTACTTTACTCATTATAGCTTTTAAAAAATGGTTCAAAGTTAAAAAATGTATAAGTTCAAATATATTGGAAAAATAGGTTTGGCAAATCTAGATTCAATCCACCTTCTTATGCCCTCTGGGCGAGAGTTTCACCTCAGTGACAGAAAATTAAGAAACAATGAAGAACTTTACCCAAACCAGGAAGAATGCTGACTGAGTTACAAAAGCCACACTCCTGCACTAGACACCCTTTGCATTTGTCCTTCCTTTTCTGTCAGCTCACCAATGGCTCTGAGGTGAACATCTCAGAGGATACAGGAAGACACAAAACCTCTTGATTATATTCAATGACAATGACTATATCCACAGAAGATAAACATGCCTGCAGATCCTCACATCTATGTACACAACGCTCCTGTAGTCTTTTTCTCGGAAACATTCCTGGATGCATGTTTAGATGAGGAACATTCCACCTAATGGGATACAATCCCCTCCAAAACTCATTAGGTCAGTATTTCTGCAGTGGAAGGGTTTCCCTTAATTGTGATGGTTCTCCAACCAGTGACCTTCACCCATGGAATTGTAGGCATTAGGGCACATGGCCCTCTGCAAGACCTGGGCAAGAGATTACCTTCAAGTGTATGGGCATCCCTTGAAAACAAGAAAAAAATTCATGCTGCTAGAAGATATATTCGTGGTTGTCACAGCTAACCCCTCTGAGGAGTGATCACTGTGTCCCAAAGCATCCATCGCCACATGAGTACTACAGAGGCCACAGTGTTTCCTAGGAAATTATGGGCAGCAGTGTAAATTTGGCAAACACTGCTGAGCTAATTTATGCACCATATTGTTCCCTGAAAAGCAAAGAATGTTTGAAACCCCATAAAAGGTTTGCACCTCATCATGCTTGGAGAGCCCCGATCTCCTTATAAGCTAACCCACAGAATAAATAGAATACCCAAGATTCAAGAAGCCTTAGGAAAAAGCCATCATTATTTTACAAAGGAAAGAGACAGGAGACTGGCAATTCTTGCATTGATGACTTATGCACTCAATAAATTCATCACTGGCATCTAGGAAAAGTGTGACCTTGAGAATGGCAGTCCCTCTGCAATACTGTTTTCTGGTGCCAACACTAATCAGTCCTATGTGCCAACTGGTGAGAGGGAAAATAATTAAGAACCAAGGGCTCAGGTATTCCTAATTTTCTTCGACAAAGTAGACAACAGAGTTAGCTTCCCTGGGCACGTGAGGATGGTGATTGATGCCATCTGTCGGGACCTTATAGGTGGTTCAGTGAAATATCTTCAGCAACAGAAGTATACAGTGACATAAATCTTATAAATGCGGCAACAAGTCTCTGTATATTGGAAAGTGTAACATAGATACATATGGTTCCAACATAAAAACAAACACAACAGCAAAAACACTTATGGGGAGTTTACATAATGTGGGTGATTAAATGTATGAGATACAATTCTGACAAAAGAGACTTCACGAATTTTCTCATACTATTGTTAAGACCTAACTAAGAAACTACATTTCCTACGCATGTAAGAAATTTCTCACATTTGGACTCATATGTGCACAGCAATTTAAATTTGGCTGAGAGATACCTCATGTTAATTGCACTCATAACGGCTTTCTCCTATGTGAACTCTCTGATGATATTGAAGACCATTAGTACTTTTGAAAGATTTCCCACATTCACTGCATTGATAAGGCTTTTCTCCCGTATGAACTCTCTGATGACGATGAAGGGCAGTGCTCCAGGTAAAGTATTTCCCACATTTATAAGGCTTTTCTCCAGTGTGAATTCTCTGATGACAATGAAGGACAGTGCTACTGTTAAAAGATTTCCCACATTCACTGCATTTATAAGGCTTTTCTCCAGTGTGAATTCTCTGATGACAATGAAGGTCACTGCTACTGGTAAAAGATTTTTCACATTCACTGCACTTATAAGGCTTTTCTCCTGTATGAACTCTCTGATGAGTATGAAGGTGAGTGTTAGTAGTAAAAGATTTTCCACATTCAGTGCACACATAAGGCCTCTCACCGGTGTGAACTCTCTGATGACGAGAAAGGTCACTGCAGGTGGTAAAAGATTTCCCACAATCACTGCAATCATAAGGCCTTTCTCCAGTGTGAAAACTTTGATGATTACGGAGGCTACTGTTCCTGGTAAAAGATTTCCCACATTCACTGCACTCATAAGGACTTTCTCCTGTGTGAAATCTCTGGTGAGTTAGAAGGCTATCAATCCTTGTAAAACTTTTCCCACATTCACTGCATTTATAAGGCTTTTCTCCAGTGTGACCTCTCTGATGACGAAAAAGATCAGTGCTAGTGGTAAAAGACTTTCCACATTCACTGCACTGATAAGGCCTTTCTCCAGTGTGTAAACTTTGATGATTACGAAGGCTACTGCTCCTGGTAAAAGATTTCCCACATTCACTGCACTCATAAGGACATTCTCCACTGTGAAATCTCTGATGACAATGAAGGCTATCAATTCTTGTAAAAGATTTGCCACATTCACTGCATTTATAAGGCTTTTCTCCAGTGTGAAATCTCTGATGACGACGCAGGGCAGTGCTACTGATAAACGATATTCCGCACTTACTGCATTTATAAGGCTTTTCTCTAGTGTGAACTTTCAGATGACAACAATGCTCACTGCTAGTGTTAAAAGATTTCTGACATTCACTGCACGGATAAGGCCTTTTTCCTGAGTGAAAATGTTGATGATAACGAAGGCCATTCCTAGTGGTAAAAGATTTCCCACATTCACTACATTTATAAGGCTTTTCTCCAGTGTGAATTCTCTGATGACAAGTAAGGTCACTGCTACTGGAAAAAGATTTCCCACATTCACTGCATTTATAAGGCTTTTCTCCAGTGTGACCTCTCTGATGAAAACGAAGGTTACTGATATTGGTAAAAGATTTCCCACATTCACTACACTGATATGGTCTTTCTCCAGTGTGAACATTTTGATGATAATGAAGGGCAGTGCTACTGGGAAAAGATTTCCCACATTCACTACACTGATAAGGCCTTTCTCCAGTGTGAACATTTTGGTGATAATGAAGGGCAGTGCTACTGGCAAAAGATTTCTCACACCCACTGCACTGATAAGGCTTTTCTCCTGTGTGAACTCTCTGATGACGATGAAGTGCAGTGCTCTTGGTAAAAGATTTCCCACATTCACTGCACTCATAAGGCCTTTCTCCAGTATGAACTCTCTGATGGTAATGGAGGCCATTGCTACTGGTAAAAGCTTTCCCACATTCACTGCACTTATGAGGCCTTTGTCCAGTGTGCAAAACTTGATGATCGCCGAGGCTATTACTACTGCTAAAAGCTTTGCCACATTCACTGCACTGATATGGCCTTTCTCCAGTGTGAACTCTCTGATGACGACGAAGGTCAGTGCTTCTGGGAAAAGATTTCCCACATTCATTGCATTCATAAGGCCTTTCTCCACTGTGAACTCTCAGATGATAACGGAGGCCATTTCTACTGGAAAAACCTTTCCCACATTCAGAGCACACAAAGCATTGACTTCCTGCATGGACATCCTTTTCCTGAAAAAACGTGTGGTTGCAACTAATGTCTGTCTTACATTCTTTTCTGGTGTAATAATTTCTTCTCCTTTGAAACATCATCCCACATGTAGGAATAGCATTTGGACTGATCCTGGTCTGAGTAGCCTTTAGGTGAAGATGTCCTGACTCGGTAAGGACACCCTGCCCAACCTCCCCGCATGTGAAACGATTCTGGGACACATTGAAATTGCAGCTGTTTGCAAGTGAGATCCTGTCCACACCTCTAATGAAAGTGTCTCTCATATGCTGCTGGTGTAATTGTGCACTGAAATAAAATCCTTGTGAACATGCCCCACACCTCAACAGTATCTGTCTATGTTGTGTTCCCTGCCCCTTCATCACGTGGAAAATATTTCCCAAGACTAGTCCACAACTCTCACAGGGGTGGCTCTTCTGGGAAGACAAGGTTAACTTGGGATTCCTTGCCTTTGACATTCCTACAAAAACTTTCTGTTCAGTCACTGCCTCCAAATTATCTGCTCCACAACAGCAACCTAAACAAAAGGAAAAGCTGGTGAAGTACATGTTGACCTTATAAAAACAGAGTACCTTCACAAGTGTTTATCTATTATGATTAGAATATGATTCCATAGAATGATTTTTAAGACAAGTGAGTTAGACTCTGAGGAAATGGCTGTTATACATAATGTGGCCCAAAAGGTCTATGGATGATGAAAATCTCACCAAGGCGGGGGGTTGGGGGGAGAGAGGGATACAGACGCACAGGATGAGACACAAAGAAGAGAGGCAGGATGTTCTAGTTCTTCCTCCACAAATGGATTCCTTTAGGACCTTTCATGTGAGTCTGTGTAGGATCATTTCAATGTGCTCAAACCCATAAAAATCAACTGTATTAGAGCACATGATGTTCAGTGTCAATATAATAATACACATGCACACTCAGGCTCTGCAGGTATGGACCAATGTTGGACTGCAGGAAAGAGAGAGGCGTGAAAGAGGTAGAGGTGCAAAGTTTAGAGAGATTAGGTTATCCATGGGCTGGGAATCTGAATAGAATGATCAGTATTAAAACTGAGTCCTTGGCAAAATGTCAATATTAAGCAAGAAGAAGTAGAATTGGGTGAGGAGTGGGCAATGGCAACAAAACACTGTTGAATAAAATGGGTTCCTAGTTATGAATGTAACAAAGTCCAGGCATGAAAACCGCCCCCACAGCCCTTCACCAAGGAAAGACTTCCTCTGGGTCTACCCTGTCATTGATAAAGTCATGTTTCTTCTATAATGCACAAAGGATTCTGCCTGTTACATCCCAGTTGAGCCATTTGGTGGGATAAATGATGCAAATCTTTGTTTTAAATATATTTTTATTGATTTCAGAGAGGAAGGGAGAGGGAGAGAGAGAGAGAAACATCAATGATGAGAGAGAATTGTTGATTGGCTGCCTCCTGCATGACCCCCCCCCACTAGGGAACGAGCCCACAACCCAGGCATATGCCCTGAACGGGAATCATACCCGTGACCTTCTGGTTCACAGTTCAACGCTCAACCACTAAGCTAAGCTGGCCTGGCAATGATGCAAATCTTAAAGGAAAAACTGAAAAGATGGATCATCAGCACTGTGGTAGGAGAACAAAACACAAATGAGATCACAGGAAAAAGACCTATGAGAGTGACATCAGCAAGATGGCAGGATCAGAGATAGAGAACTATTCCCCATCCCAGAGTAAGTAGACAGCTATCCATGAACAAAAAACACCCCCACAGAATATGGGGATAAGACTATAATAAAGACAAACAGTAATATAGAACACCAAATAAAGGAGAACTAAATAGAAAGGATGACAGGAAATTGGGTGAACAAACATATTTGAAGATACATATGGTCAAACAAAAGGGTGAGAGTTACGTCTAGCAGCCACTGTGCTTCTGCTCTGTAGCCTGTTCTTCAAAAAACAGTGGGGGAAAAAATTTTTAAAAAAAAAACAAAGAATGCCCTGTGCAGTATGGCTCAGTTTGTTGGAACATCGTCCTATGTATCCAAGGGTCTTTGATTCATTTCCCAGTCAGGGCACATATCAGTATGTGGGTTCCACTTCCAGTTATGGTGTGCAGAAGGCAGCCAATTGATGTCTCTCCCTCACACGGATGTTACTCTCTCTCTCTCTCTCTCTCTCTCTCTCTCTCCATCTCTCTTCCTCTCTATGTGAAAGGAATATATATATATAAAAGCGCAGCAACCGAATGGTGGAACAACCAGAGCAACCGGTTGACCAGTTGCTATGATGTGCACTGTCCACCAGGGGGCAGATGCTCGGCGCAGGAGCTGCTCCCTGGTAGTCGCTGTTCTCCCACAGTGGGAGCAGCCACTAGCAGGCCCAGGGTGAGGCTGAGTCTATGAACCTATCAAATACCTGAGAATTCAGACTCTGTGCTGACCTCCCATGTAGGCCCTTTAAGGTGTAGAAAGTGCACAGGGAGCTGGTATAAGTGGATGGCAAGAGGGGATTTGACTTGGACCCCCAAGGGAGGCTGTCCTGATAGCTAAGGATCCTAAAGCATGGCACCTCTGAACATCGCCAATGGCGTCACTGACCTGGCATCACACATCATGGACATTCACCGAGTGGCTTTGGGGTGCAAAGATCTCTGCCAGGTTCCTCTAAGACACAGGACATGCCTTTACCCAAGACTTTACCCCAACATATCAGCTCAGACTAATTTCCTCATTCAACAGCTGCACAGAGGGCGGGTCTAGAGCCACTCAGCTGACCAGGATGAGCGGTGCTCCCACAATGAGCAGATCCCCGCAGGCTACGTCCCCAACCAGTGCACGAATCCATGCCCCGCGGCTCTAGTAACAAATAAATACATAAGAATTTCAAGGAAGCCAAACATACAACAGCACTCAAAAAAGTCTAGACCAGTGATGGCGAACCTTTTGAGCTCGGTGTGTCAGCATTTTGAAAAACCCTAACTTAACTCTGGTGTCGTGTCACATATAGAAATTTTTTGATATTTGCAACCATACTAAAAAAAAGACTTATATTTTTGATATTTATTTTATATATTTAAATGCCATTTAACAAAGAAAAATCAACCAAAAAAAAAAATGAGTTCGCGTGTCACCTCTGACATGCGTGTCATAGGTTCGCCATCACTGGTCTAGACACAAAGTAAATAAAAAGACAACCTACCAAAGCTTATGTATAACATTCAGAATATGTAAATCTAAGAGGAACTTTTGTAGGGGTAAATGCCTCCATTATCAAGAAAGATCTCAAAGAACGTAACCTGGCACCTCAAGAAACTAGAAACACAACAGGAAAGTAAACCCAAAAGTTGCAAAGAAATGGGACAATTATATTAGAATAAACATGAATAAAAGAGAGACAAGACAAAAGACAGGAATACCTAAAAGGTATTTTTTTAAAAGATAAAAAACTTTTCAAACCTTCAGCTACAATAAAAAAACAAAAATACAAACTAAAAAAAACAAAACAAAAAGCAAGCCTCAAATAAGTTCAAAAAGAAATGAAAGAAAAGATATTACACCTGTCACTATGAAGCCAATGCATCATAAGAGATGTTATCAGATGACATGCCCCTCCATAGAGAAATTTGTCAAGATCCCAGTATAACGCCCTAGCTGGTTTGGCTCAGTGGACAGAGTGTCGGCCTGCGGACTGACAGGTCCCAGGTTCGATTCTGGTCAAGGGCATGTACCTTGGTTGTGGGCACATCCCCAGTGGGGAGTGTGCAGAAGGCAGCTGATCGATGTTTCTAACTCTCTATCTCTCTCCCTTCCTCTCTGTAAAAAAATCAATAAAATATTTTTTTAAAAAGATCCCAATATAAGTTCCTGAAAATAATTTTAAAAATTCAGAACTTTGGTCAGTGTCCCACTTAGTGAGTGTGTGGTCCCTCTGCACCAAAGTTATAGGTTTGATTCCCCCATCAGGGCACATGCAGAGGAGAGCTAGTGAGTGCACAGATGTATAGAACAGTAGATTAATGTTTCCCTCTCTCTTTCTCTTTCTCCCTTCATGCCTCTAAAATCAATAAATAAAGGATGGCTAGTTCAGCTCAGTGATTGAGCATCAATCTATGAACTAAGAGGTCACAATTCAATCCTTTGTCAGGCTACCTACAGAGGTGGCAGGCTCAATCACCAGTGGGGGTCATGCAAGAGGCAGGTGATCTATGACTCTTATTATTTATGTTTTTCTTATCATTTACTAT